ATATAGCATCTGGGGTCTTAAAGGCTAGAAAGTAAACAAGTGGCCATCTAGTTTAGAAGCAACAAAGCCTACATGGAAGAAGCACACCAGCCTGTGTGATCACAAGGTGCTGAAGGGATTAGTTATCAGGCATCATCAGTATCAGGGGAGGGACTGGCAACAAGGGCACAGCACGAACTCTGGGGTGGGTACATGGGTGCACATACCTACAAAGGGGAGGTATGCTATAGGAAGCCAATCAATAGCAAAAGATCCACCAGAAAGTCTGCAGTGATGGAAGGTCCACCATTAGCCAAATCAAAGCCTAGTTCTTCATTCTACTAGCTAAGGATTGTTTGGTGTTCCATACCAAAGTCTCCTTTGATAAACTCACTTATTCCATTCAAACCTTTTCTCTCATGCTGACCTGAATGCTGTCCCCTCCTGAACTCTACCTTGTAGGAAAGTCTTAAAACTCCCCCCAGTAATGTAGGGATTACCCATTCATTTTTTTTTTAATATTCTTGGCTTAATAACTCCATCCCTTAGAAATGAAGCTATGTGAAGTGTGCAAAAATATTCAAAATTCAGAAATTCAAATATGTAAAATACAAAGATGTTGGGATTTCTTCCCCCAGTAGAAAGCAGCTCCAATGAGGAGTGCCACCTCGTCATTTCTTTGTAGATTCAGGGCATATTCGGACCCTTACATAACCCTTGAGAACCACAGACTATTTGCCTCACCCTCACTCAACTCAACGTTTCTGTCCTGAGGAGCATCAGCCTGCCTTGTCAAGTGTGTGCAGTGCAGTGTGTGCCAGAGCAGGGGACATCTGGAGATGGAGAACAGTGCTCTTGCGCGGGGATTTGTTAAAGGGTTCCAAACAGGCTGCACAGCCAGAGTTACTTTCCAAACCATTTTTTTTTTTTTGCTCAAAACCACTCATTACCTTCGCCAAATAAAATCATGTGGCCCCATTTGCTCGGGAAGTTAATTATTGTATTGCTTTGAATGAAGCCAAAAAACTATTTTTACTAATAATATGCAAAGACTAGGTTATAACATTCTCAAACTCCAATTCACTGCCATCGAGTTCCAACTCATAGGAACCTGTAGGACAGGAGAGAGTACCCATGAGGGTTTAGATGATTGTAACTCTTTAAGGGAATAGAAAGCCTCATCTTTTTCTAATTATACTATTGTAGATATGTAAATTGAATTTAGTATTTTCATATAAGTTTTTTCAAAAGATGGTTCTGCTTATAAGCCCATTTTGGAATAGGTTATCTTTGTTATATGAAGAAAGTTGGAATAGTGTGGGGTATATCTTGAATTAATCTCTTTGGAAACATAACAGAAATTAAATAAGCAAGCAAGAGAAGTGATGGGCGAAGAGAGATGGTGCCAAGACCACCTAGGAGTAGAAGCTCCGAAGGGACAAGGAATAATGAGGCCCCTGGTGGCATAGTGGGCTACTAATTGGGCTACTGAGATCGGCAGTTCAAATCCACCAGCCCCTCATGGGAGAAAGATGAGACTTACTACTCCCATAAAGGGTTACAGCATGGGAGACCCACAGTGGCAGTTCTATTTGGTCCTATAGGGTCACTATAAGTCAAAATCAACTAGATGGCAGCAAGTAGTAGTCGTGAGTAGTTAACTAATACAAAACTTTATTTCCCAGCATATGAGGAAATAAAAAAATCAGTGAACACTTTTATAAAACTAGAACCCATAAAAATTATAAATGCCAAAATTTAAAACTTAAGTTAAAAATATTTCCTGAAGTCTTGAAACCAAACAAACTTTTAACAAAACTAGTTGTGTTTTGTTTTGTTTTTAGAAAGGTGGCCTTGAGCATTGTCCTCTATTAGGAACAATCTATAGAGGATTACATTAACAACAGCAACTTGAAAGATTCGATCAGAACCGAATCACATGATTACAGAGTTCATGTCAATAAAGGAGGGCCGTCTCAGTAAAAGACAGGAATATTCACACAACTCAAATAAAATAATCAACCACACGGAATTACACAGAAGAAACAGGTAGGCTGGTATATGTTTTGCTGCCTGTCGTCTCAACAACATGTTAAAAAATATCTAGAGAAAGCTTGATGGATTCTGAGATAATAATATGCCATTCTTATTACAATTTACCCATCTAATAATGATAGAAATTAAGAAGTGTCATAAAAAATTTAAAAGTAATAGATGATAAATTCATTATCAGGCAAAGATGTGGTAAGCAATAGAATAATCTACTAAAATATATTGTCAAATCCACTTTAAGAACACCACTTTAAAGTAGATTAATATCCATATGCTACAATAGGTAATTCCAATATTAGACCTAATATGATTGCTCCCTATGCAATTAGTGAAGTTTAGCTTTAATAAGGAACCATAGCTGGGTAGTGGTTACAGAGTGGGTGGGATCCAAAAGATCAGCAGTTCAAACCCACCAGGTGCTCCGTGAGCGAAAGATGAGGATACTGCTCACACAAAAAGATACAGTCTTGGAAACTGAAAGGGGTGGTTCCAGTTTTAAAGCTCATTAGTGTGAAAATATTTCAAATATATTCCCAGGCGAACATTAGTGCTCATTTATGTTTACAATATTTTGGCAACTATAAAGTAATGTTTATTTACTTTCATTAATTCTGTATCAATGCTTTAACAGGTCTCTTTATTCTTTGAGGGCCTTCATTTAAGTACAAGAAATGGCTACCGAGTAATATATACAAAGATTTTGAGGGGGCTGTACCAGTTCGGATTACAAATAATCTTTACTATGAATAACAAGATAAGGTTACTTAAACAGCTAATTCATTATTTTAAATATTGCATTAATATTTTAATGGTTGAAACACTTAACAATTCAAAATAAGCTTTCTGTATTTAATGGTTATGAATGTTT